TAAAAAAAGTCAACTCCCCCCTCCCCCTTCCCCCGGTAAATATCGTTACTTTGTGTTATTCACTTGACTAACGACCCGGATTCGGGTTTCCTGTGTTTATGCCAATGAAAAAGCATAAAAGTACAACATTCACAAGATTTGCTTCATTACTCAGGTAAGCAGCTCACTGATCCTCAACTGTTTATTTATCTATGCCGATACCGAGTCTTAGGTTTCATTGGAGGAATTGGAGGAGGCACTGACGGAAGCGGAGGTCATGGAGGAGAAACTTTTAGATGTCAACGTGGATATATTGGAAAAGGGGGAAATGGTGGTCAGGATGGAGGAGGAGGAGGAGGAGCTGGGGACGGTATGCACAATATACATATATGTTATTTACCAGCCAGGAGGTCCGGATAGGGACAAACTGTGCCCGTGGTCTTGAATTTAAGAACCGAGGCCATATCTTTTTTGTTGTTGTTGTTGTTGTTTTTTTTGTTTTTTTTTTGTTTAGCGGCAAAGGATACCGGATCGCGAGCGCGGGCAGATATTAACAAAATACCGCCCGATCAAACAGCCAATCAGAACGCACGATTTTTTAGGATACCGGACCGGRAAAAAATAATTAATAATACTTATATACGCGCATTACAAACTAAAATAGAAATATAAAAATATGAATTACGATCTAAAAAACATACCATGTAGGCCCKTTGCATCAGCCCCAAAGCAGTGTAACCAGGAGGGCAAGCAACGAACTAGCAAGAATCTCRAGACATCTATGTTCGATGGCAAATCGGGTTTTCGGAAGCATGACAAAAAATGAAGCACTTGATCATGGGAAAGGAAGCTTAGCTGCAATAAACTTGATAATTTATAGCGGTATCTATGCMCAGCACATCATTTAGCAAAAGCGTTTTTCTTTTGATTTCAAGGTTTACAGTTTGGAGGTCCAGGAGGCGATCACGCTGGGGGCGGTGGTGGGGTCTCAGCAACAGATAATGACGGTGCTGGGGGAGGAGGTGGAGGAGGTCATTTCTCTGGTGGAGCTGGGGGAGGAAGTGGAAATGGGTGTGGAGGGCCTGGAGGAAAAGGTGGATTTGCTGTGCAAAAGGTAAAGTACTTTTCATGTTTATTTTAAGAAGAAAGCATCGAGTCAATAAATATTCCGTCTCCGATGCTACTGTTCCTTGATTTGTAGATTGGTAGGTTTGCAGGAGGGGGTGCTGATGAAGAATGCCTTCTAGGTCATGACGGTAGAAATAACACTCACATTCATGGTGGTCGTGATGGGACAAGCCAACGTGGTGGCAGAGGAGGAGGTATTGATGAAATGACTGTAAAAAAACTTAACTCTTTACAGATTATAAAAGCAGCATGGTAGAGCAGCGGTCTGGAAACCCAATGGTCGTGAGTTCGATTCCCACTCAGCCCGGATTTTTTCAATTTTTGGTTTATACACTGGTACACTTTACTGACTTGGCTTTAGTAGGAGTGTCCTGAGGAGTATTTCAATTTGACAGAGATGTGTCATTATGAGCCTTGTGCTTTTTTATTTACAGGACGCTCTTCAATAATCCCTTACACAGTTCCCTCCGCCATCTTGAAAGGTAGCCGTGCCTTTGCATTGAAGGGAGATGAACGGTGAGCTTGCAATGATAGAGATCTTTTTTTAACACTTGGACAATTGTTCACATGTCTCTATCATTGCAAGCTCACCTTTTGTCTCGCTTATTAAAGGCACGGCTGCCTTTCAAGATGGCACAGGAAACTGTGAAGGGGACTATTATTGCATGTTCTTTATTATCATTGTATTGATAGATACCAAAAGAGGATCTAGCTATGGAGCAGCGGGCGGAGGGGGTGAGTAATAACACATACGCTATATCAATAATTAATGAATAAATTAGACTAATGTTATATCCATCCCGTGAAGRTGGCCTTCAATATGGCAGTCTTGATTTCGAAAACAAGTTAGGTTATGGCGGAGGAGGAGGTGGGGGAGGTGGAAGCGCCTTTGRAAATGGCAACACTGGTGGTTTAGGAGGAAATGGAGGTGGAATTGTACTCCTGTTTCTCAAAAGGCTGACRTTAAATGGCAAGATAGAGGCAAATGGTAAGATACGGTTTCTTTTCCTGTGTTTCACTTTTTTACTTACGTTTTCGTTCTTTGCCTATGTAAGCAAGTCGCTAATTTTTTATTTTTARATATTTGCAAGCATTTAAAACTGATAATAAATCCTCCCAAATGTAATAGGAAAAATTTCATCCTCTTTCTGTCTAGCCTGTGCATTTTAGTCAGCAGTTTTTCCCCACCTTCCTTATTCTTTCCAATCCCATTTACCTTTCCAATCCCATTTGGATCGTTGCGCAGGTTATCCTTTGCCGGTTCAAACGCACATCCACGTCATAGGTCACTATACCAGTCTTCTGAAGCTGTGGACTTGTTCGATAAGTGTAATCCGCTTCATATCGTGCTGCATATTATGAGATTATTTTTTGTTATAGGTGAAAAAGGGCGGTGTCCATATGAAATGACAACAGTTAAGTCGGGGTCAGGAGGAAGTGGTGCTGGTGGAAGTGTCGTAATATACACTGATRAGCTGTATGGAGATCCAAGTACGAAAATACAAGTCAATGGGGGTCAACCAAACAACGATTGCGTATTTGGTAGTGGGGGAGGTATGTACATTTATGCCGGCTACATGCACGACACCTTGTGCAGCTCTTGTGCAGCATAGCGCTTCTCACATCCCGGCAAGAAATGTCAAAACTATTTAACGCAATCATGTCAAGTATAATATCGAGTCATAAGTGTGTGTAAGTGTGTGTCGCTTCTCACATCCCGGCAAGAAATGTCAAAACTATTTAACGCAATCATGTCAAGTATAATATCGAGTCAGCACAAATAAAAATTGGTATGCTGATTTACTATACGACTCACTCGATTTTCCGTGTATTACGACCATTTTCGAGTGAAATCATGGAGCGATATTACAATACACTTACTGTGAACCGGTTTTGAAGGGGTATTTTTGCTGATGTCAACGCGAGGAAATTTTCTTCTGTTCCTTAGGGTTAGGGTTGGAGCTCGCGACTTTTATGTTTGCTTGATTACGAAAAATGGTTGTTTTTCAGACTTTCTTTATCAGGTTACGYTGCTATAGTTGTGTATTACGGATAATATTACTGTGAAGCTGTATTTTTTGTCGCCCCCACGGGGCTCGAAAAAATACGGCCGCTTTCACTCTTAAAATAATCCGGCTGTAATCCACAACTATAGCAGTGTAATAACCTCTATGAACTGCTGGCCAGAACTTCGATGCTTGGTTCCTTTTTAACTGATGGATACACGAAGCGTAGTGAGGGGTCTGAATATGCAAATGTGTTAGTTACTCGCTCACTCACTACCATAGCACTGACTTTTGCAATGAGGGAGGTAAAAGTTCGAGTTACGGGCTTCGAGTTACRCACTCCGGCGGACACACCATTGCTAAAGGAATGCAAAAAAATAAATTATCACGATCATTCCAATATATTTTTAAAAGTGTAATTCGAAAAAGTATTTTTCGACTTTTAGGCATCATAACCCRAAAATTAAGTTTCAATCTGTCGTTTTCTAGTTACTCTGTCGTTTTCTAGTCTAAGAACTTAACAAAGTAGATGGCCGATTGCCCATATTCCCGTTTAGATTAAATGCATTTAATCGAGGAAATACTTTGAATCTCAAGTATAGGCAACGGACTTCTGAGGGAGTTCGACATACGGCGCGTAAAATTTTTCTGTGTCGGGCAGGTTATTTTAAGTTATCGGTTATCCATGAAATAAAATCTAAATAGTTACTATCTAACAGTTTTTATTTAGTGACTATCACTCAACTGGAACAGCTTTAGTAACAATACACAAGGGAGACCAAATACTCAAGACAATAGAAAGATAATACTTTGTGTATTGTTACTAAAGCTGTTCTAGTTGAAAGATAGTGACTAATAGTCGCTAAATAAAAACTGTTAGGTAGTAACTATTTAGATTTTATTTCATGGACATAGTGTAAGCACTCTATTTAATTTAATTTGTCGAATGATTCTATCGTGGCCTCAGCTTCATTGCCAAGGTGTGYTTCTCCTCCCGATTTCTGTATTAAATGACTGGCGTTTTTCATCTTTTRAAAATAAAAAAAATGTAAAATAAAATAAAATAGGTTCTTTACACACTGATAAAATAAACACTCTTTGTTTTCCCAACATCACTATCGTAATATGTTGAATTAAAGTGTTTAATTATACAGCTTCTCATTGATTCCATATAGGTAACTGTCCATGGGATTAATTAGGCTGCTATATGATTAATAGGTAATGGATTTCATGCTCCCCAATCAAGAAATAATTAGACACGAAAAATTCCTCTGACTGCCAAATTGGACTCGGCCTACGGTCTCATCCAATTTTGTCAGTYCTCGGAATTTTCCTTTCCCAATTATTTCTTAATTGSACAGCATGGAGTCCTATTACATATACTAATTTTCCTGCATGATTCAACTACATCTTAGGGCTAGGGCAAACGTCGAACTTTCCATGCACCGAACTTAATTACATCAAAGAATGCCGCCTCATTATCACCTGATATCCATTGTTTTTAATGAGTTCGGTGCATGGAAAGYTCGACGTTTGCCCTAGGCCTTAGTGAGCGAATGAGTGAGTGGGTAGTGTCTGAGTGAAACATTTGCATATATTCAGACACGAGTTAAAAATAATAAACGTTGTTGTTCAAAGCAATATTTGAATCAATAAAGACCAAAGGTAACCCAAAACAACGGCTAGCTTGTGATTTAGGCATGCGAAGTAAACTTTTACGGTCCGGCCGGATTCACCAACTGGAACTAACTCGAAATTGGTTATTGACGACTCTTAAAACTCCATTGTATGCGGGCTTCACCTCACTTCTGAGGTCGGTAAACAAAAGCAGAAATTAGGATATCAAAACAAGCAATTCCTGGATTCGAGGCTAAGCCCGCATACACTGTAGCGTTTAATAAGAGTCGTCAACAGCCAGAGCAGCTCGTTTCTCGGTACTGGCCAAGAGGAACGTGGGCTCTGGGTACGAGATAAACTTTGGCCCTTAGTTAAAATATTTTGTTTTGCAGGGGGAGGTGGAGGAGTTGGAAGGTGGGTCATCAAGACTAAAGACTCTCTTCTCAAGTCKGGTGGTTAACGCTCATGTTTTCTGTACACTGCACCCTGTCGGCTATGCCATTAGTTCCGAGAAAAGATATGCAATATATATGKCTTCAATCTTTATACACGACAAAAAACTTTTAAAAGAATTGGGAGAAACTGCGTACGATTTCATATCTCGCTGACAAAACTAATATATCTGTACCGAAATTTAGCTCCTCTGTGTGCCGTAAGGTAAAAATKGCTTCCTATGGGTGAAAATCCTTTTACGGAAATCCTCCAATCACAACAGGTAGCTAAATCCTTTCCCACTCATACAAAAAAATCGCTCTACTACAACCTCCGAGTACTTACCATTGATGCATGATAACGAGGCATGTCAGTGGAAATGCCCGTAAAAAACGCACCTTATTGGAAAACGTCCACTTTCAACAATTTTGAGTGAGTTGGCCTGAATGCCAGTCTAGATCCTTTACCAGAAAGCAGAAAAACGTTTCAAATCAAAAAAGGGAGGAATGTCCAAAATTCTAACAAAACATTCTTCAAATAAAAGCTTTGATTATTACCTTGATAATGGAGTCAAGATGACTCCGAAACGTCGGATTTTTGCGTTAATTTTCATTTCAAAAACATTCTTCAAACTTTTTATTTTTTATCATTGATTAATAAATCTAGTACTTTAACATAGTGCTTCATTGTTGTTTTTTTAAAATGTGCATTCTGTTTTTGTTTTTGCCTTAGCGTTATGGTAAGCCTTATTATGAAGGCTTAATAAGTGATTTCCTTTTTCTAATTCTCTCCTCTTTCATAATTTCCTTCAATAAAAAAGTTTTTAAGCCCTGCTTTTCATGTGATATAAGACACAATACGACAAAAAAGCGACAAAAAGCAAAACAAAAAACGATATTTTGGTTTCCGGTATGCAAATGTTTTAAATAAATTATCTTACAGGTYGTTTTGATTGCTAATTTATTCTAATGCTAGGTTTTCACAATAAACATCGTGATGATATTGCTACAAATTGCGTTGGTAATTCCCTGATGCTGATTGGCCGAGACCCGGTCACATATTTGTTTACTTAGGGACGACCAATAGATTTTTGAGGTGGGGGTTGGGCAAAACCCCAAAAAAATTTCGAGCACAGCTTTAAAAAGTGAAAAAAAAATTTGTGCATAAGAGAAGTGCCAGAAAAAAATTCCAAATTATGTCCAAAAAAAAATTTCCTGCACAGCCATGAGGCGTAAAGAAAATCCTGSACAAAATAAATTGCCCAACCCCCCTCAAAAATCTAATGATCCGTCCCTTATGAGTCGGCGCGACTTTTAAGATAAAATCGCATGCGCTTCCATTCTTGTGGTACAATTAAGGCCCCGTCCACACGTATCCGGAAACTTTTGTATCCGCAAATTATTTTTTGAAAAGATTTAACGAAGCCATCATAAAAACGTGATAGCATAGAGAAACTGCAGGCGTATAAAACACAAAAGCCATGAATAACGCAAAACCCAACATATCATGAYAAACAACTAGCCATGAAAAGATTTTTAAAGTGCTTATAAGCCTTTACACAATATTTTCAGAATTGATTCTTTAGATAGTGAATAGTTGATTGTGAAAATATTTTGTCATTTGAATGTTGTGTCTTTAAGATACGAAGGTTTATATTCCCAATATGTTAATGACTATGACGTAACATAAGGGATCATTTAATATACAACACTGCACTCGTTCTGGAATACAGTATTTTAAAAGCATCACCCTTTTACTTGTGACTCACGTAAAGGTTCTTACAAATTTGTTTTCAAAAATTGTCCAGCGTTCAATATTAAAAGTTGCCACAAAATAACTCAAATCCCTTATGTTACGTCATAGTCAATAACATATTGGGAATATAAACCTTCGTATCTCAAAGACCCGACATTCAAATGACGAAATATTTTCAAAATCAACTATTCACTATCTAAAAAATCAATTCTAAAAATATCGTGTAAAGGCTTATAAGCACTTTAACGAAACCAGCATAACAAAATGCAAGTGAAAGAACAGCAAACTCATAGCAAAAACTGCATGCGTAAAAACACAAAAGTCATGAATAAAGCTTAGCCAAACATCTCATGACAAACAAAAACTGGCTCTGGATAGATTTTTTAACGAAGCCAGCATAACAAAGTGCAAGTGAAATCACACCAAACGCATAGCAAAGCGGACTGCATGTGTAAAACACAAAAGTCATGAATAAAGCTAAGCCAAACATCTCATGACAAACAAAAAATATTGAACAGAATTAAACCACGGAGTGCAGAATAAAACAAAACTGGCCGAAAAGCAAGCATTGACAAAAAGCAATGAATAACGCTGAGCCAAATAGTTCATGACCAAACACAACTGGCAAATATTTTAAAACGACGAATGGCCAAAAGTGACCAACAACTGACTAGCAAACATTACTATTAGAACTACAAAACGTACAAACCAAGGGAAATTTACTGCCACCGTAAGGAAAGTTAGCCAAGGTTAAAATCGAGCTACCGAAGAGGAACATACGTAGAAACTGGGTACAGAACGTGGTTTCTCACTGTTTATATACTCGTGTGGCGGAAGACCGCTGAATATAGTCCCGTGTACCTCAGGTGTACCGAGGTGTACCTGTAACATCAGCTTTAAAAACAGTGGTATGCATCGAATGCGAAACTGGTGTATACACGAACAAAGGTTGCAGGTGGATTCAGAAAACGAAACCGAATGTTTTCATTTTACACTAAGTAGGTACATTATTTTCTCTATAATAAGTAAGTAAGTATAATGATTTCTAATAAGTCTCCTCCCCTATTCTTCGATTGCACGTTACGTCATCGCGGCCATGTTGGTGCCATTTAACAAARGATTTCTCATTAGCACCCATTGTTAACGGCACCAAAATGGCCGCCATGTTTTTGTCTTTTGACTCTMTAGAGAATACTTGCAACCATCAATTAAGGCCGTCGTGGTCCTTTTCCCTAGGCAGGCCTTTCCAAGTCATTTTACCTGTCAAGACTATGACATGAATAAAGTAATCCGTTGGAAAATACGGTCAAAGCCTGGTTCTATCTTTAATAAACCTGGATTTATTTTTTYCTGTTTTTAATCCTTGCCTTTTGTTGTAAAATGCAGTAAATTTACTTGGTCCTTCGAAGAAAAACGAGGTAAGTTGACCAAATTAAATATGGGTAGAGGCAATACCCACAACTGGTAATTCTTTGAATKTTATCACGTTCTTGCACTCGTGTCAAGAGATGTCGCCATCAACTGCACAAGTTCAATGCTAAATTAGCTAAACAGATAAAAACTTCAACTGGAATTGATTTACTACAAAGTTATTAGTTTAGAGGTTGCAATCAAAGTTAACGAAGGCGTTTGGGCTGCTCATTATAATTATGATCATAGTCAAAATAATAGTTATCCATCTATTTGTTTACTTTTTTATTTACAGTAATTTCACTTTTGTTTTGTAAATTTTCTTTCTTTGTTTCTCTCTMTATCCTATTACACCAATATTTTGTATAAGAACTAATCCAAAAAGTTACATGTGATGATGTTATCCAATGATTTGAAGCACTCAATGGCACATGATAGTTAGTCTGGACAAAAATTATATACAGTAGTATGTTAAAACATATTTACACTATTATATCTAAAGATCATTTAACCCTTTTTAATAAATACATTTTTTGCTACTTTTTACTATCATGAATATTTTAGTATTCCAGTGTGGGCAAATCCAAAAACAGATTTATCATAGATAGACCTATTTCATACAAGTGTGACATTACAAGARATTTTTTTAATGGTAAAATTTTGGTAAAATTGTAAAGTTCCGTAAAGATTGACCTTAAACTGAAGAATATATGAATCTTTGAAACTAATATAAGCATCTTTGCACAGCAAGCCTTTTTTTCAGGCACATACGTTTCCTTGTTAAAAGTTTCACAAAAATACATAGTTTCGAAAATTCATATATTCTTCAGTTTAAGTGCAATATTTTCGAAAATTGGCAATTTAATATAATAGATATGGCAAATTTGATAGACTCTTTTCCACAATAAATCAAATATCTTATAATGTCAGGCTAGCATGATATAGGAGTATTTATAAGTGCCAAACATGYAGCTAATATTGATTTGTTTAAGAAAGTACAAAATCTGCAAATATTACAAAATGCATCTAAACYCTTGATAGTTCAACTAGCTTGTTTTATCGTTGTTACTTATTGTTTTTACTACATACACAGCTTCATTTGGTCCTTGAAATATTGAATATTCAAGAGGTGACAATGGTCTGCCACTCTCATCCCTCAGGCTGCTAATTACACTACTTTCAAGTTCCTTTATTTTAGACTTCAATGAAGCAGTCTCTTCAAGAATAGCTCTTTGTTCTTCTAAAATTCTTTTCTTTTCATTTTTCATCAATTCAAGGTCATCACCAAGAGAATCAATTACATCAATCTTGCGCTTTCGACAGATTCTTGCTGCTTCCTTATTTTTACCTCTTCGGCGTACTTCTCGAACAATCTTTGCTTGTTCTTCTGACAGCTTTTCAACAAATATGTTAAATTCACTGACTGGCATCTCAATTATCTTCTGCTCTGATAATCCAAAAGGCATATCATCATCCCTCATTGATTTGGTTCTTGTAATTCCTTTAGATTCTCTCTTTGCTTCTTGCTTTCCATTTATTTGGAAGGWAGACAAAGTATTGACTTTTCTTGTAGTTGATGGTAATGAAACAGTAGCAGATTTTATGCCATTATCAGCAGTTACAGATGTTGCAAGAGCTTTAAAAAAGAGAGATCATGGTTAATAACTTACTTACAAAAATAAAAGAAGTGCCATTTCTATTAAAAAACGTTTTTCTAGGGCCATCAATTAATATTGGTCCCTTCAGATATACCCACTCAAGTTTGGTAATTACAAAATAACAAAGAATAATTTTGTTACTTCTAAGATTAAAGGAAAACATGCCTTGTTGACAATCCATCTTGGTATGCTAATCCCCCCTCATAGCCAAACTCATATTAATATTGAGGGCTACATATTTAAAATCTATCCATGTTTTTATAAAATTAATTTATTAACTTATTTCAGTGTTTAATCRTTCTAGCACCACTACATTCAATATCCTATGCATACRAYGTTCAACTAAAGCCGAATCTACACAAGTTTTCCATGACAAGTATCCTTAACAATTTTCATTGCTCGTGTAGACCACCATCAGYGAGTTTTCCTTGACAATTTTTCCTTGACAAGGTTTTCTTGCTCGTGTACATGATGAACAAGTTTTGGCTGTGTCTGCAATGCCTTTTAATCAGTGGAGTATTAACAAAAAATTGGTTCCAGTCTTTATGGATCAAAAATCAAAAACAGCTTTATCGCTCCAACTCATTTTCCTTTTAGCTGCCATTTTCTATGTCTCTTGACAGGAGAGCGCGGAAAGGCTGAGAACTAAACTCATTAATATTCCTTGCCACATTTTCCTTGTTGTCCATCTACACAAGCAAATTTCAGCCTTGACAATTTTTCCTTGACAAGAAGGAAAAGCTAGCATGCCAGCTTTTCCTTGTCAAGGAAACATTTTCATTTTACTCCATCTACACCATCGTTAAGGAAAACTTGCTCATGTAGATTCGGCTTAACTTACACAGAGGGAAGAAACCAGACTCTCATAGCATGGGAGAACACATAAAACAAACTCAATTCACGTATGGTGTCAAACCAGTGACCTGAACGTTTGGAACCACAGTGGTGAAAGACGACACATTAGCAGTGTATTATATATGCAAACCGTGCTAGTGTGTCGTCAACCATAGCATACACACAAGATAGAGTGAAGAAAAATTACCATAAGGGAATTATCTACCTTTATTTCTTGTAGTTACTGATTCCTGAACAGGCTGGCTAATTTTGTTTTYAATATGATTGTACGTCTCCAGTGTGGGGTTGAGGATATCTAAAGGTAAGCCTAAGTCCAATGAAGCAAGGGAGTCTATTTCTGTTTCCACATCATCATCAAATATTTSATAAGAATCGTTAGTTATAGTATTTCCAAAGTCAATAGTAAATGGGTCAAAAAACTTGTTTTCCAGTTCCATTTCAAGGGGATCTTGAAAGTCACTTCCATCTGGAGATGTTTTGAAATCAGGCAAGTACAACAAGGTGTCACTAGGGCTCAGTTTGTTTGGGTAAGAGTTTAGCTCTTGCTTCCCGTACCCAGAGAAATCCAAATGGTTTGAATCTTGAACGTCCAAAATCCCTTTATGAGGTTCAGTAGTTTGAAAAGAGTCTAGATCAACATAATTTTCAAATGTATTAAGTAGTTCAGTAAGATCGGATGGTGGGGTGTACCCAGCTGCACCAAGTTCAGATAGATCAAGCTCAGAGTAGCTGGAAGTAGACAGGGGCGACTTGGCATCTTCGGAGCTGTACCCACTTTCAGAATCTAGTGATCCAAGTTGGTTCCTTGGGGTGGAATCACTAAAAATCATTGCWACAGCATCATCATTAAATCGTGCATCGGGCATCCAATTCAAATACTGTGAAAGTGGGTCTAAATCTATCCCGGCCGTCATTGCTTCTTTCGGAGAAAGTAAGTTGTCAAGCTCACTTTTAGTTCCACTTGATGTACCGAATGCTAAGCCGGTTAAATTATATGGACTCGAGCTGACCGTCACTGGACTGATTGACGCTTGATCCAAAGTAGTGATCTGTTCTTGAAGATCTGGTCTTAGAAGAGAGAAGAACAAGGCCAAATAAGCCATACTTTCAGGGATCGAGGCCCTTCTTTCGGCGACCATTATATCCAATTATTAGTTAACGCGGCTCTAAATACTTAGCAGACTTGTGAAATAAAGATCTTGTGTTCGATAAAACTAATCAGAAACACGATTTCTAGCGTTTTTTTCTCAACAAAACAAGATTCAAGATCAACAATAACGCCAGCCAGATACGTGAAAGCGAATAAACATGGCAGTGACTCAGCGAAATCGGCTTTTATAATTCTTGAAAACTTACTTTTAGAGATTACGTCTGAATACRTTATGAAAAGATTGCCCAATGAAACTACAGTATACGACAACATACTACAAACAGGCTATTTATATCTAAATTTCTGATTGGTGGTCTTTCTATTGACGTCACTGCCTTAGGATAAGGACATGATATGTGAGCCGATGTTCATGGKTCAGCAGAGAATAGCTTAGAATTTCAAGATGGCGTCCAAAGGACAAGGAGTGACTGCTAACGAGGAAAAGATATTGAAGCATGCCGCACAACAAATACAGAAAGCAAAGATACCACCAACTTATAAAAGAAAGAATGCGTTTGTCTTCATAGGGCTGTTATCCTCAGTCATCGGAATATGTATCCTTGAAAGTACTGTTACGTAAGTACTGTTATATAATATGATGTATATACATATACATATAATTACGTTATTATATATTATATTATATACTTATTTCAATAAAGTTAGCCACCAAAAACCTAGAAAGCTGTGATCGCTGAGAATCATGGGGRAATGTTTTATATCCAACAAGTAAAGCTTTTGACACAGACTTCAACAGTTGAGGATACTCAGAGGAGGTTAACTTATCTCAAGTCCATCAACAGTTATCAAGCGGTTGAAACATGTTTATAAAATAATTGGGATACTACGCGCGCTATGATTGGTCRAAAACCAYGTTTGATGAGAGTATCAAAACACGCTATCGTCATTTTTAATCTATCGCGCGCGCTCATTGGTCAGTTTGAATAAGACGGCACGTAGGGAGAATTTACTTAGACTTTGCTTTTTTTCGATCTTTTCCCGTGTTTGTTATTTTATAAAACAAATCAAAAACAGTTTTCTGTGTTTGATACTCTGATCAAAACACTTGGGATGTTGGGAGAACACTTGAGAAGCTGGAAACCACTCCGCTACGCGTCGTGGTTTCCTACGCTCCTYTCGTGTTCTCCCAACATCCTGCGTGTTTTGATCAGAGTATCAAACACGGAAAACTGTTTTTGATCTGTTAAA